AGGTGACGGAGCTGGGCCGCATCGCCAGCCACTACTACATCACCAACGAGACGGTGCAAACTTACAATCAGCTCCTGAAACCCACCCTGAGTGAAATCGAGCTCTTCCGGGTGTTCTCGCTGTCCTCGGAGTTCAGGAACATCACCGTGAGGGAGGTAGGGAGCCAGACCCCCGTCCCGAGTGGGACAGCCCTGACCACCAGGAAGGTGCTGAGCTTGCCCTGCGTGGGACCGTTCTCATCTCTCGCCTTGGGTTTCTGCAGGAGGAGAAGCTTGAGCTTCAGAAACTGCTGGAGCGAGTTCCTATCCCCGTGAAGGAGAGCATAGAGGAGCCCAGTGCCAAGGTGAGCCCCGCTTGTCCCCTCGAGGCAACTTCTCTGCCTGCCTTGAGGGGCTTTCTCTTCACTCCTGGCGCGTGTCGGAGACCCTCAAAGAGCTGCAGGTGCTTGTCTCTGGCTGAGCTCACAGTCCTGTGGCGTAGGGTGGAGCTGGTCCCTGCTGACGGCTTCTCTCCTGGCCCGGAGGGTGCTGAGACCTTCTCTGTTTGCTTCCCCAGATCAACGTGCTCCTCCAGGCCTTCATCTCCCAGCTGAAGCTGGAAGGGTTCGCTCTCATGGCGGACATGGTGTACGTTACCCAGGTGAGCGAGGAAACGTGCCGGGGGGGGCCTCCCTCGTTCAATCCTGGCTGTGTCTGGGTCTCAGATGACTGTTTGCACCTCAGAAAGCGAGTGTGCGGTCACAAACGGCTTTGAAAATAACTCAAGGTGTGAGAAGCGAGAAGCTCTAACCCCTGTTGGGATGGGAATTAAATCTCCATCAGGATCTCCGATTTGTAACGGAAATAATTCAGCACTAGAGGTCTGCATTGTCGTTTTATTCTCCTGCCACGAAGGCCACATTCCCAAAGCTGGAAATCGAGGAGTTGCTCCACCTGTAGGTGTTGGGCATGAACTTTATTGAACTGGAGCATTCAATTTTAAGCATAATTCAATGCTTTAAGCATAATTCAGTGCTTAAAGAAGGCGTATAAGTAAGGTGGGGAAGGGCTTTTTCCAAGGACCTGCAGGTTTTAAACTGAAAGAGGGTAGATTTCAGTCGGATTTATTTTTTTTTTATAATGAGGGTGATGAGAAAGTGGGTAAAAAGGGAGGAAGGCTCTCAACGCGGTGACGGCAGCCGAGCTCTGAGCTGCTCTCTGTTCCCTCAGTCCGCCGGGCGGCTCATGCGCGCCATCTTCGAGATCGTCCTGAACCGTGGCTGGGCCCAGCTCACCGACAAGACCCTGAACCTCTGCAAGATGATCGACAAACGCATGTAAGTGACATTTTGGAGGCGTTTCCTCGTGGCCGGCCGCTCCAGATTCTTCAGCGTAGCCCGGTTGAGGTTCTGCGGTGTTCTTGGGGTGGAGGAGGTGCCGCGCGTGTCCCGTTGATCTGAGGAACTTTGGTGCTTTGTTTCTTGGGTTTTTTTTTTTTCCCTTGCCTCACGCCGCGGTGTCCTTCGCCAGGTGGCAGTCCATGTGCCCTTTGCGCCAGTTCAAGAAACTCCCTGAAGAAGTGGTGAAGAAAATCGAGAAGAAGAATTTCCCCTTTGAGCGACTCTACGACTTGAACCATAACGAAATCGGTACGGAGGTGTCTAACCCTTGCATCTCCTGTGGTTTTGACCCAGAAATTGGAGAGGGGCTGGTTTCTGTCTGAAGGGGCAGAGCTGGGGAGGATCTCGGTGCAGCCTGAGGAGGGCAGAGGCTTTGCCCTGGCACCTTTTGGCCGCTCAGATTGCCGATGCCTGGGAGCTGCTGGTCACTCTTTCGTGCTTTTCCCTTG